TCTACTTAATCGTAAATTGGAGATTACGAAACAGTGAATTAGTCATGTCTTATCAATTGAAATTTTTGCGCAAGAACATACACCTTTATTGCATTTTTCCTACTTATAGGAATACTTATTTTTTACAGTGTGATTGAAATACGCCATATTTGTTTTTTTGCCATATAACATAACCAGTGCCACGATAAAGTTGTAACAGCGATCAAAATAAAAATTTTGGTATATATATAGTATTTTTGGGGCTCCTGCAGTATGCGCCCCAAGATGGTGGACACCGGAACGTAGTACATGTACCAGGTTAGAGTCAGGCCATAATTTCAGGTACAAATACTACGGGAGTCACTTGGCTAGTCCCCGAACTCGTAATACATCTAAAATAAGGAAAATTATGGCCTAACCCTTATCTGGTACACATACTACGTCCCGGTGTCCGCCAACTTTGTACGGCGTACCGTATTTTGGGGGATAGTATCACTCATGAACACGATAGGAAACAAACCACTTTTCAAAATGACAATGAAAATAAAAATGTCTCAATTTAAATATTCAAATCTCTTTGGCGAATTCTTATCCACTAATCCGTTCACCGGTAGAATGAATTGAAATTTGGTATCCATTTAGGAAACATCAGAATATTTACATGTTTTCGTCTGTAACTTCTCCACTAGTGTTTTTAGATGAAGATTTACATTCTTTCAACAAATTTATAAAAATTAGCTTCCAAATACAAAAGGGCATAGAAGAGCATTAATTATGCTCGAAAAACATGGACTACATCATACGCATTTTGTATTAAATAATATAACTATCAACAGAACTACGAAGCAATGTAAAAACCTATTATTGTACACGAAGTTTTGCTAGAAGGATGTTGTTGAAATTGTTTTTATCACACTCATATGGTTGCTTTTTTGAAAATTTATCCTAAAATTTCATACCAAGCACTTTTTCATTAGTTGAAGATAAAGGTGTCTTTTGGAATGCTTTTATTTTTATTTTGTGTTAAGTTTTGCTGACGCCTGTTGTTTGTACCAAATTGTTGCTGATTGTTAAGAAATTCGCCACTTCGTGTTTATATTGCGAGCGCCACCACGCGTGAATTCTTCGCCAGAACTTCGGTATTTGTCACAAAGTGGATATTTTGAATATTTTTCTGAATTGTTGTTGTAGTAAATGTTGTTGTTGGCAAAAATTCTTTCTCTAAATACCATAGCGTCGCTTAGAACTTGGGTCTTTACAAAGATCGGTTTTGACTAGTGAATGTTTCAATAAAAGCATATATATTTAATCACAAGGGATACCCCAAGTCGTGTCTATATATTTGCGTGTTGCTTCTTCGCCTGGTAGTTATCAGTTGATGAGCTATTGCAGTTCTTCTTTGCTCACACATGAGGTCGCCACTGTATCGGCGTAAAAGACAGTTACAACAAAATTTGATTTTGATATATTACATGTCCAAGTATGTAAATAGCGTCACCAGGGACGTCCCAATGTAAATTAGTTCTATTTACACAAAGATTCAGAATGTATACTGTTAACACTCATAACGTGAATGACCTGTGTTAATATTCCAGTGTGGACCTATTGATTTGAATCAGCATTATGACTTTACAGTTGTCGAAAGTCGGGAAAAATAGAAGTATATAAATTATTAGTAGGCTGGTGATGGTCCCTTGGAGGTACTCCCGTAGTATGTAAACCAACATGGCGGATACTGGGACGTAGTCTGTGTACCAGGTTAGAGTTAGGCCATAATATTATTCCAATTTTCCTTATTTTAGTTGGATTACGAGTTCGGGGACTAGCCACATGACTCCGGTAGTATTTGTACCTGAAATTATGACTTAACCCTAACCTGGTATACATACTACGTTCCGGTGTCCGCCATCTTGGTTCACATACTACGGGAGTACGAGTACCCCCTTGGAAACACAGTTGTTGAGGACTTGGGAAAAAGTGTTAAATATTCCAACGTGTATTTTCAATAACGTAGGAGAATACTAATCATGCCAGAGTAATTGAATATTTAGGATACAAATTTATATGCAACTATACGAGGAGACGCGCAAACGAATAAATCTGGATATAGCTAACGCTACGGTGTTTCTTAGTGACGACCTGTAATACCGATACGTCGTGGAATTGAGGAAGCGTCACCAGAAGGGCAAACTTTTGTGGGAGACTCTTAGCTTACCGTAAAAAAACAGCAGTTTTACAATTTCCACAGCCGATTAGGCCAGGTAGTCAGGTTGTCACTACTTCACTACTAGTTAGCGATCTGAACAGTAATCAAATTATATCAGCACATACACTCATAAGTCATCTTTTCTTAGTTGTGACTTTTATGATATAGGCCATATCCTATATTTGCATGCTTCCATTGTGCTAAGCTGGTAGGTCAATACCAAGCTCTTTATTTACGATAGCGGACATGAACAGCAATGTAAAGGTTACAGAGTAGTAAAATATGTTTGTCGCAAGAAAATTAACACTGAAAATATCTTTATAGCTTTATATTTGAGAAGTTAACAGAAATCATGTTATAATTTTCTATGACGAAACAATATTGTAATCGTGGCGTTTTTGCGTTACTTTAGGTGTTGACGGCTAGAACCTGAATTTTCAATTTCCCCAAAACAGAATTTGAAATGAGTATAGTGACGTTCAGCTTACCAATATGGCAACCTGTAAGAAAATTTCATGTTATCGAGTAGACGCATACGTTTTGTGGCTTATTTCGGAAATACTTTATTACGATGACCCCTGTCAACATTACTCACCAGTCACTATATTTACAAGCGTTTAATGATCTGGTCTCCGAAATTAAATCTAAATTGGAAAAAGGTTCAATGCTCATTATTTATTGTCATTTCGGAATTTTTCATATGTTCACATCTTTTCTCGTTATAGAAATGTACTCGACTTTTTGGACATGTAGTGGACATAACGATCGTTTCAAAATTTTGTTGTTATTGTTATTATTTGTCTTCGTCAACACGTTTCGAAGAAATCGCTTTTCTCTTCGAATACTGGACCAATTGCTTTGAAATATTCAGTGGTTCAAGATAAAAATTTTCTCCAGAAGGATATTACTTTTTTTTCGCTATGACGTCATCGAAATTATTTGACTCTATGTGTCCATATATTTGAGCATAGCTCTCTTGTTTTATATAGCCGTTCTATTTGCACCCTGAGCGAACTCGGGTGGTACAATGACTGCCCTGCGAAACGAAAACAGGTACCTTCGATACATTTTGTGCTCGGTGAAGCAGAGGCATTGTCTATACTCCAATATTCGTATGCGGAATCAAGTACTGCTGTCTCTTTCAGTGTACTGCTCATCACAATAGGGAAATATTATGACCTTCCGGCATAATTTTATCACCAGATTAGGTCATATTCATTTATAGAGCATCCACTTTCGCATCATTACATGAAACCGAAGGTATCACTTCAGACATTTCAACATCGTTTAATAAAAATGCGTAGCAGCGTAGAGAACGCCACTCTCGCGATGTATTTTTTTTTGTATAAATTTTTAATTTCAGTTTGGTTTCGAATCATTGAAATAAGGTAAGATTTTGTGATATGCTAGATTTCATATGGTGTATTGTTAATTTAGCCGCAGGTAAATAATGTTAGACATGTAATACCCGCGGCGTGTAGGAATTCGTCGAAGAAAGAATTTGGAACACGTAAACTTGATATGGTTATTATATCAGAAATCTTGTTTACTCGCTTTATAAGACTGTCGTCTACCTCAACTTGATGGTCCGTTATGCGTTGTATCATGGATATCAATTTTGCGGCAGGCAAAACCATAAAAGCGTGACGACATTTGTCGACCAATTACGCTAAAAAGTGTTTAGGTCATAAATGAGCTAATTAGTTAGTAGTGCTTGAACTGTGCTAGGCTTTACTGTATATGTTGGACTGGCAATATTTTCACGCCGATTTTTGTTATGGTATTTACTGAACTTTTTAATAATGTATTGAAGGTCAGAATAGCATGTCGAGACCGGGTTAATATTCGCCTTCTGGCGAACTTATGTTTATATATTTAAGCCGGAACTGTGATGCGACTACGCTGTAGCTTAGTACAACAGGTCCTCCGTATTACGGAACAATTACTCTTTTGATAGCTTAAACGTAACAATAGGAGAGAGCTTTTAATGGAGACGGGGATTTTTGTTTGTCGAACAGTTAACTGCATATGACATTGGAAATTTAGTGATATAATCTTTATTGGCTGTAACATCGGCGCTCCAGAAGTGTGTGTACCAATATGGAGGCAACTAATTTTGTTCGCCTACTTTACATCAAGTTGTGTAATAGAACGGTAGCCTATGGGCAGGAGGTATATACACTTGGCTAACACAAAAAGTCCTCGAACTCGTAATAGAATCAAAAAGGAAAGTCGGAATAAAATTATGGCCCAACCCTCACCTGGTACACATACTACGAGAGTACCGTAAAATCTAATGATCAAGTAATGTTGCCTCTCTTGTAAGGCTAATAAAATGTCGTCTGTGAGTGCTGTTGTGAGCAAATGCTATGGCATTGCTCTTCAAAGTAAGTGTAAAGTATAGTATGCTTGTAACTAATGTATATTGCATATTTTAGAAACGAAATATCAATTTCTGTATCAGAGATAGTACAACATACCTGATCGTAAATTACTACCTTTCCTATAGCTTCGGATTCGTTTACAGATGTTATCGCGTTATAGCTTTATCTTAGAACTAAAACTCGAATCTGAAATCATCTATTTGAAAAGGTGTAAATATATCTAGACTAGACTATATCAGCACATTTGGGTCCCATAACTCGTTGTAAAAGCGAACCTGTCCAATTATCATAATTTGAACCTTAGGTTGAATAATCGTGAAGAGCTTTTAATTAAATTGTATATATGCGGTTTCGCCTTTTCCCAGGACGAATGAGTGAGGATTGCGGTCTGCATTGTAATAAATAACCCGTTTGAAACTTTTTATTTTGTTGATATTTACAGACGATTGTTGTAATAATAGTTTGTTTAGAAATTGCAATCAGTAGGATTTTCCAATGAAGATGTTCCGACGCGAGATTTTGGTCAGCTTTCTTTTGTGTAAGTGCGATTGAGTATGTTTGTTTTTGGTTAGCCATAGCAGGAGTCTACACATATTTGAGTTAAATAGCATAAACAAGGTCAAAAAAATACAATGAGAGCTCCCAGACAACTTCGACATATCTGATGAAATCCAAGCCCGCGGTGACAATGGGATAAACAACGGCAAGATACGAGACAGATATTCGACACGATGACATCGTGCTGCTGCAAACTTTGCAAAGTTAACCTAAAATTTAAGCTTTAAATGTTTATATATTAGACTGTACATTGCCCGATTCAACACATATTTTATATTTTTTATTTCAGACTTTTGCTTGCAAACTGTACAAGCAGATGACTGGAGCTACGCTGGAGAGCACGGTAGCATTATATCTCTTATTTACTTGCTAATTTCTCACCAGTTCTAAGCAAAATATTTTTAGTAATAAACACCATGAGTATTATAAAGAATGTTTGCCAATGAAGCCATAAAGCGCAGATAATATGCTGAGTTGTTTATGCTTTGTCTTATCTCAACTTTCCAAATTTAGTAAATTCTGGGTTTTAGTTTATATTCTCTCAGGGTTGCATTAGTTCAGTGTTGTTTTGAGCTATGGAGCCCATTTTTTAAACTTCTTCATTCATTAGATGAATCAAAAATGCGTTCGACTGTTATTTGTCGACTATTAAACACGTCGTCAATTAATAGTTATTTGCCATAACGATTCAATCTAATTAGCGTAACTCTTGACTTTATTATTTTATTGCGATAGGACCATCCAGCTGGTCGGAAGAAGCTCCAGCATGTGGCGACGATGCCCAATCACCAGTTGATATTCAAACAAACGAAGTTCTCATTGATCCTAACTTGCGCATGTTGAAACTTCAGGGATACGGACAACATTTAGACGGCGGTGAAGTTCTCAACAATGGCCACACAGGTATGCTCTTTAAGATTCTATAAATAAAATAATATTCTTAAATTGAGCTGTACTTTAGCAAAACATGGGCAGTCTGTAAATCATGGCTGCAGAATGGTTTTAGAAAAAGTATTCTGGTGAAGGCATTACCTCCGCCAATTGTTGTTACCCATGGTAATTTCGCAAAGGTCAGTAATTACCGGAAACAAGAGAATAACGAGTATGAAATATTCCTATCTGTTTAGCAGGATTAATATTACGTTTTCGGTGTATTTTACGTTTTGCCCCGAACAAAATGCTTTTGTAAGCCAAAGTAATGAGATTTCGCAAGAGGCCCTAGAGTAAAATCTTTTTGGCCATTAGCCAGCTTACTGTACCTAAACATACCTCTCATACCACAAATAGCTTCATAAGCCCGCAATTCTGTGCAACTGCCGATGACTAAACGAATTACTCGTCCCGGTTTTACTCACTTCAAACGCCGATTAAGGTTTTGCTGAAAACACGCGATTATACTTGTTGTATAACACTGTTAAAAGAGTTACATTTTATTGTTACTTTCGGTAAATTTGTTTAAGTTGAGCCCAATAAATTTATATTACGACCAATGTAATGGCATAGATTCCCCAATGCAACGCATAAAACGCCAGACCCCAGGTTTAACATATGCAAACATATATTTTTTTGCAAAATATTGCAGAGCAATGCTGCAATTGCTGTGTGTCAATCAGACTATCCTTACTGTCGAGTGATTGGATTTAGTAATAGGCTCAGTTAGCTTATATACACTTTCAGCATCATATGGATTCATTCCCATCTAATAGGCCTTCAAGCGGTTAGGGGATCTCGTTAAAATCACGTGATGTATTACATCATTAATTTTATAGGTTTATGGGAAATATGCATTTTTATCGCGCCGTATTTTACGGGAGCACATAATGAGTATAATATTTGCTAAGCCGTTTGTTGTGTCCGGAATAACAGATTGGGCTTACTCTGACAATGAAGTGAACTTACCTCAAAAATATTTCCATACAATAGCATCATTCTTTTGGGTCAATATTTAAGTCTCGCATATACCTGAATATATTTTTAAAACTACGCGGCCGCTGGCGTTATTTAATCTGAATTGTGTGCTGATTATAAACTTTGATATCATTCTGATTTTGGTATTTTCAGTTTTATACTAGCATTCATATTTTGGAGTTTATATTTTCCCAGTAAAAATTCACATTTCATATTTTATAAACAAAAGTATTTCATAAATATCATGTCTACTTTCAGTTAAACTGAATTTTCCTGCCAACAAAACATTTATATTATCTGGCGGTGGAATGGGAGAAAATAAATATCGCGCTTTGCAGCTGCATATCCATTGGGCAACTCCAGGATCAACTGACGGATCTGAACATACTGTAAATGGGGGGCATTATCCAGCAGAGGTAAGAGATACAGTATAGGTTTCAATGAGTAAGTATGGTTTGGTTCAACCAGACGTTTTGTATTATTTCTGGTCTTGAGAAGAAAATTACAAAACAGAGTTTAAAATTACAAAATACTCAACTTATCGTGACAACAATATGAAATTTGAGTTGATACAATATGAAAACTAGTAGTTTATTTGCTATCTTAGACTTAGATAAATCAAATTTTTTATTTCACACGACTTACAATTTTTCACTCAACTTCAGATGCATATTGTTCACATAAAAGAACCGTACACCAGCGTCGGGCAAGTTAAAGATATGTCAGACGGATTGGCAGTTTTGGGCGTTTTTCTAAAAGTTGGCAACAGCAAAAACGTTCATTTTGAAAAGCTCTTACAAGCAGCACAAAGGTGTAGATATAAAGGTAAATTTACCAAAAGATATTGATAAACTCCCGAGGACCCGGGAATATCAGTTGAATTTCGCATTTCAATTCCAATCTTAACTCCTCGTTGAACTTAAGTTAAAGATGATTAAATGAAGCCTAAATATTTAGGAAGAATGTCACAACAAATGGTTGTAATACTAATAGAACAAATGATAAGTTGTTTATACAGTAACATATATTTATATAAATAACCATTTTGTTCCACGCCGTAGCCGGTACCATCGTCAGTTATCGTTCTTAAATTCCTAAGTATTTGACCGCCCTATGAAAGCTTGGTTATATAGAAATATTTTGAATGTAATTCATTTAAGAAAACGATCACTTTCTATAAAATTCAAATTTTAGTTATTTCTATTTTTATTTTCGCTCTGGTATAATAACTGGAAAATACTAGTTTAAATGAAACTGCTACTTGACACTCCAAATTTATAATTATCGTTTGATCAAACGAATTCACTGTGTGTGGTATGTTTCCATGAATCAAGCCGAAAGGAAACACAACTTTACTAAAGCTACAGTAAACTCGGCAAAGTAAGTCGAACGAAATGATTAAAAAGCTTTGCATATAGAAACTTCTATGTATATAAAATTCTTGATATTTGCAGAGCTTCATTGGGCATATGAATATGAAGTATAAATCATGACATGTTTATATTTGTCTCTTATATAAAAAAAAAAAATAGATTCAACAAGCACACTCGAATCAGGACCAAGATTGATTTCGCTTTTACCTGATTCTGCTTCATATTACCGATATAGCGGATCTCTGACAACACCTCCGTGTTATGAAACAGTAACGTGGACAGTTTTCCAAGAACCCGTTGAAATATCACAATCCCAGGTATGCTCACTTAATCAAAAATATGTCATGAAAACGAAACTGTGTTATTTATCCTACGCGCTAAAATTAGTATTGATTCATCAAAAGATACCGAGATGTTGACAATAAGGCAACGTAATGTTTGTATAAATCGCTCTTGTTTACTTAAATACCACTCGTATGCTAACTATCTTGTACTATTAGCTAAAATCAGAAACTTTTCTATAATTTCCTAATAATTGTGAAAATTTGAGTATTTGTACAATCGGTATTCTGAAGATCATATTTTACAAATTGAGTGTGCTGGCGTCATGACCTGCATACGCCAGGATTAAAATTATCGATCACTCTGATATTATGGTAAAGTTGCTGTTAGTTTCCTACAGCACAGCACGTGTGTATGTCATATTCAAGTGAAAATAAATTTGTACAATACATATTCTGATTCCCAGTTACTCAGTGAAGTTCCCCAATCGCTCCGCGCTGTTACAATCGATGCACATTTTAGGGAAATATGCACACTTGTGTACGAGAGAAATAAATTTACGATACTTTGTGGTATAGTCATGGTCACGGAAGAACGATGTCCAAAATATTAAATTTAAACAAAAAATTAAAATTGCTAAGATTCGGAAAAATGGTAATTTAATTCTAACAGACCATTTTTTATTTTAATCTTGTTGATTCTGTTGTCAGCTGGACATATACCCAAAAACCCCGGAAACGTTGGCATATGTCAATTGTTCTACAAATTGGACCTATTAAGATATTGTGTTTCTATATAATTCGGTTTCCAAAATCCCAACACATCCATTTGTATGTAGATATCAGGCATTTGTTTCGTCAACACAAATTCCGAATAAATCGTTCAAGCGTTTCAAATTTATTTTCTTGCAAATTAAAACGCTATCTAAAGAATTTGTTATGAACAAGTTAAACAGACTTGCTGTTTTCTCGACATTAACAAAATATGCGTTTTGAAAAACAATAGCTTCGCAGGTAATTGACTTTCATTTTGGACAGGGTGAGCAAATCATAGCTTTCAAACCACCAGCTTTATCCATTTAATAAGATTTAAAGTATTTTAGCCTGGTCGAGTCGAGTGTGAGCTGTCAAACGAGAGTTTGTATTGTCGAAAGATTTGACTGGCACAGTACTATCACCATACTGGACTTTTGTAGTTGAATATCTTCACTAAAATGAAACGCCTGATAAAATATTTTACATATGATTTCATCTTCTGTATAACAATAACCTAAAATAGCCTTATTGAGATGACTATTTGTAGTGTCACAATTATTGTAGATGGAAATGCTTCAAAGTCTGAAGTCCGTTTCTGCTCCTGACGCCATCAAAGATAGAGTTACGGCGAGCGATGACAACCGATTTGTCAACAATGATAACTTGGGAGGAAATTATCGACCCTGTACAATCATTGAATGGGAGAATAGTTACTTTATATCAATTAATTTTTGAATTAAATATTTCAGAACTGATTGTATTCACTATTTGTTGTAAAACTACTTTTGCAATGAACTTCCACATTTTGATGACTGAATACAAATTATAAATTAAGTTTAAATATTTCCCCTAAATTTGCTGAAAATCGCATAATCGGCATGATTTTCATATTTTTGTCACGCTTCGCACCTTTGCGTTGGTAAATAGAACTCTTTAGGTTAACCACGTGAATATTTAGTTTCTCCCACGAGAGTGAACTGGTTGAAAATTCTGCGAATTGTGATAACAGGTATTTTCGTGAAGTAAAATTAAAATTATGAATATTTTCTACTCAAAACGCCGCAACACTAATTTATTTTATTTATTCCTTCATCAGAATTTTTTTTGAAAGAAGATGATGAGACGCATGGTTGGACTTATTATGGTTCAAATACAGGTAGGAATGTTATCGTACTTATAGCTGTGCTGTTAATGAGCGAAAGTGATGAACCGAACCTTCTTGTGCTAAGCAGTTTCGCTATGCACGCAGTTGAGCGGTCTTGAAATTTAAAAAATGACTATTTCAATTGCATTTCAACACCATATTCATTGAAAAAAATTTTTGTTCAAATTCTCGCATTCGTGACTTGGTTTGTTATTGGCAACGCAATGATAAACGATTGTCTGGAAATCGATAGACAGTCACGAATTTTGGTATAGAATTTAATTGCATCCAGATTCATTAATACACTTATGTATACCATTTGATATGGCAAAGATACCGGTAAAAAGTATTGTATAGGAATTTGATGTTTTTTGGATTCAATTATACAAAAACACTGGCTCAAGCTGTACAGCATTGTTTCCAAAGTAAATTAACCACACGACAATTTTTGGTTTCTGAAGACGAATAAAAATTTGGAAAATATTTACTCATAATAGAGTGAAAACAAGTGTTTCGTTTTTTGCAGTGTATTATTACTAATATCAGTAAACATTCAGAAGAATATTCGTAATTGTCTAATATCACGAAAGACATTGAAATATGTATGAGACTTTATACGTCAATTGTCAATTTTATGTCAAAAATCTTTTGAAGTTTCCTGAATAATTATAAAATTGTTGCACCCGTAGCAAGAGAAAATTCATATTTACCTATTTTACTCTTTTTTTTATCACTTAGACGCATTCAAAATCGTGTCAAGGTTTTCATTCGCGCTTACTATGGTATTTATGAACGTTGAAGTAAAATTTATTCTCCACAAAACATTTGATATGACTGCAATACACAGTACTAAAAACTATAGACTTCTTAAAATGGGTTCTAGTTCGAGAATTACCAAATCCCGCATATACAGGTGTTTTTGTGGTTTTAAGTGGAAATACGCACCATGAACAATATGAATATAAGTTATTGCCAACATGCCATGCAAGAGCCTTGTTGTTTTTACTAATCCCATTTACATTCACTCAACTCGAAATTTCCGATTAAGGCATTTACTTAAGTTCAAGAATCGTGAATATACCTATATAGAGTATAACTGTATAATATGGGCCAAAAGTACAGACTTATTGAAGCGGAATAGATATGCAGAAAAAAGTCATAGAAATGACCGAGATCATTGCGGATAGATCCAATTTTGATGTATTAAAAAGAAATATAGCCCCATAACTTGTTTTTTTAGTTTTGGTAAAATTGGTAAACTTTGCGAATTGGATTGGTTTAAATTGATTAATTATTATTGCTCAGATGGAGCGATAATAATTCATTACAAGATGATACTTCTTGCTGTAATCATTTATTCCGACCACAAAAAGCTTGAATTTCATATTTGAGCTCCATATTTCCATTTCAATGATTAGGTTATATTTCAAAACCTCCGTTCTACCAACTTACTTCATCTTGGCTCCGTATGTAGCAATTGTCACAATGATGATTGAATGAGATGTTATTAGAGTGATAAATAGGAATATCTTAATCTATTTTCACAAAACCATGTATATTTGTAAAATATCTTGAATAGTAATTACTATTCCAAACATAGAAACGGATTGTATAAACTATATTTATCCTTGTTATTAGAGTTATATCTCGCTTTTCTCAGAGAAGTTGCGTATACAAAACTGTGATCTAGCAGAAGCTTACAAATTTACTTGGTTTGTCGTGAATGAACTGAAAGTGCGACTTGCTCCTTGCCAGGAAAGCATGAGCATTTTTTCCACTCTGATCTCCTGATCCACTATCTTCATTATCAATTATTTGAAGGTACTGATGATTGGTCACACTCATATCCAGTATGTGGTCAGCAGAGTCAGTCCCCGATAAACGTTGTCGAGTCAAAAGTGGTAAAGTTGCAGGATGCACCCGGATCGAATAGCCCAGTAAAACCCATTATTTTTGATGGATACGACCAAGCATTAAAAGGTTCATTTGTCAACGATGGGCATTCAGGTATATATGTACATTTTGTGAATTAATATTACTTGTAAACTTCAAATTGATATATGATTGTGATAGGTGTATTTTACCTGCTGTATAATCTGTTTGTTATTAAAACACAAATCTAATTTCGTTTCTTTATTGACTACTTAGTCCAACAATTACTTTTACGATCTTGTTACAAAGGGATCCGTTTGGTCTGATTATTAGAAATTCCTAACATATACCGTTTTTGTGTTGATGTTCTCGTGTTCAACATTTCGCTGTCCAAGACTCGAACCTAAATTCCAGATCGTTACCTATTTGGGACTAAGTTCAATACAATTAATTCAGTGTGTTTAATTCTAGCGAAACTTAACATCGACAAAGATCGAACTTACACAATATCAGGTGGTGGTTTGAGTGATTCATACACTGCATTGCAACTTCATTTTCACTGGGGAGATTTATCATTTGATCGTTTTCACCGGGGAGATTTAGCAATTTATGGAAAAATTCATGGTGGATCAGAACATACTGTGAACGGTAGAAGATACCCTGCAGAGGTTTGCTATTTTTAAAGTAACCAAGAATATGGAAATTATTAAAATAATAGGCTTTTGTACTGAGTTTTAAGAAAACTATAACTTAATCTCACTGTTATCGATAATCAAACGTAAATCAAAAAATTCATGAATCTCAAGTGTTGAATTTGAAAACAATGACATTTTCCTAATTAAAAAACTTTTAATGTTGATTTTTGCTAATTATGTTAATGAAATCAATTAATTTTCACAGATGCATATCGTTCATGGCAAAAACTCGTACTTGTCAAGTTTAGCAGATTTTCAGAAGAATTCATCTGACGCTTATGTCGTCATTGGCGTATTACTCGACGTTGCCCATAGCGGCAGTAGTGAAACAAAACAAAATAATGACTACGGAAAAAATTCTAACATGCAGAAACTATTACAAGCTTTTGAGGAAATTATTTACAAAGGTAACATGTCAAAACTAGCGCTTAATGCTTACTCATCTCATATTTTATTTGATTGAAATAATTTGTATTTGGGTGGACATGAAATTACATTCGTTCGAAGTTTCTAATGAAGCCCATTTGTTATTAGTGGTGGTGTCTTATTTATCTTACCCTGTCTGGAACAATATTCTGAAATACTTTAATACAAAATTAACACACTATATTTTAAATCTATAAAACTCCAATTTTGCTTTATTGTCTCGTCACCCATGGGGTCGACAAGTTGGAACTATTGTAATATCCGAGGCAATGAATTATTTATACTTGATGAAAATTCAAATTTCTAAATTGTTCTTAAAAGTTTGATTCAAACATTAATAAACAGTATTTAAATTTACAGACGATAGTGTATCATTTCCCTCTGGGCCAAGCTTAATTTCACTCCTACCAAGCGATTATTCATTTTATCGTTACAATGGATCTCTCACTACACCACCGTGCTCTGAAACAGTTATTTGGACATTGCTATCTCATCCCATCGAAATTTCTGTGAACCAGGTTAGACTATAAATAATAGTTCTTTGTTCTCATATTTAACATATTGGTTTTCAATCATTTTATTAATCATTTTATAAAATTTAACAGCACGCACGAAAATGCTATTAGAAATATTGAAGTTGATGAGCTAGAATCAAATAGTTATATAAGATAATAAAAATGCTTCAAAATCTTGCATTTGGACGCGGTCAATGTATATTCTAAGATTCAAAACTCTGTTTTTACTCAGATAAATTTAGAAGAATACTTGAATAGAAGAATAGAATCGAAAATGTAATCTGTTATGTCCATCGCAAAGGTGCAACCGTGGATGAACAAACAAATTTTTTTATTGTTGTAACTTAATTTCATTTGCATTAACACTGATAGTCTTCGTTTTCTCACATTGTTTTCAGTTTATTGCTTTTGAACAACTGTTCAGTAACAGTGGCGCAGATGTAACTTCCAGGGAGACTATAAAACATGAAAGCACAGCAATGCTTATTGTGCCAGGAGCGGGAAAGGTGAATATTAAGTCAAAACAAAACTTTATAAACCTGTATGAAATTAATAATTATTTGTATCGTTTCGTTTTATCAAGACCGAAGAAATATCAGAAGATACACCATTGGCAAATCTATCGAAAGGGATACTTGATACAATAACTGCAACGGTAAAATCTTATTTTATAAAAAGAATTATAAATAGAGTTCGTTGTTGCGAAGGAGAAGGTAGGCTGAATAATAATGAGACATAGCAGAATTTCAATAGTAAGCAACGAAGGTTAGGAATCATAATTACAATGTGCAGGAAGCAAAGAATTTTATCCGCGTGTAATCTGTCGAAAATTTACGAATCGTAAAAATTTCGGGCGTGTAGTAATTATTTATTTGGGAAAATTGAGCTGAAGTAATATTATAGCAAAGTCAACTTTTCATTGACGAACCAATGTGACTACGTTTGTTTTTCACTTTGTAGTTACAATGCGCAAAGACAGGTGGTTGTAAATTGTTTCTCAATAATTTTACACATTGGCAAAATATCACTTCTGAATGGGCGTTAATAATAATATCTTTATTCATTTTTGGATTTCTATTTGCTAAATAAAGCAAAATGTTTCAATATATTTTATTTATGAACTCGATAGCTAAACAAGGCCAACGTACCTTCGCAACTGTTGCCTGGTAACGAAACAAAAGATCATCTTCTGAGAAACAACTATCGACCTATTCAACCTTTGAACGGGAGAACAGTCTATGTCTACGAAGATGTTGACAATCCATCTACAGTTTCTACACCAACTGGAGGTTCGTATTTTTATTCAGGATATACAAGATTTGTGTACACAGCGACCCAGTGGTTAGCGTGTTCTACATAATTATGTTGGTATCATAAATTAAAGATGTCGGGTACTCCGTGCTCATCATGGATTCACTTTCTGAGGGTTCGGAGACTAAAAATCATACGTAAATAAGAATGAAAAAAAATCCCATTCATTTTGTTCCTGTGATCTGCGAGTATGCTTGCGAATACACGCTACTCACTAGATTTCCAAGCTGAGTTGATGCAAAATAAAATTATAAACTTCAATTTTATGTTTATTTATTAAGGTCTTATTATTTTGTTTTTGTTTTGCACTTCCCAGAACCCGTTGGCAATACCGGTCCACCTGTACTCGAGATCGTTCTATGCACACTAGCAGGAATCATCGTATTTATAGTTATGATTGTTTTGGTTATGAAGTGTTGCTGCAAAAAGAAACAAAAAAAATCTAAATACACAGGTATAAACGTTGTCATTTTGATCTGACTGTGATAGTTCCTACTTTCATATTGACCTGCATTATCACTGAAAATACATTCCAGAGCATGATGAATTCAACGCAAATTTAGAAACAAAACTAAACCATTACGAAGTACAGAAGAAAAATTAGATTTCTACATCGATTCGCAAATTTTCATTGATATCAAATAATTTAACATGCAAAAAATTTTAACATGCATTCCATAATATCCTTTAAACTGTGAATTTCCGAGCGCTTACTTGACTCATAACTCATAAGAATCGTGAATTCATAATACTTCATAAATCTTTATTTTATCAAGTCGACGATGAAACTGGAGCAATAAACAATTTCATATTTGAAAAATTTACATCTGTTTTGAACTTACATTGATTCACATAAGTACTAACATCACGGTGGGCTGTACAATGCTTAGGTTTTATGTCTTGAATTATTCTTTTTGTTTCAGGCGCCAGACAAACTACTGGTAATGAAGAAGGTCTCACTTTATAAGAGATGTTTATCACACAATAACCTCAGTGGTCTTGCTTTTCGTAAAATATTGTTTAATACAAATGTTTTCTTCATGACTACGTCAATGAAATCGATCTGAATTGAATGAAGCAAGACAGCAGGTGCCACAACAATTAAGACTTGGAAAAATACAATAAATGACATTTAACTTGATATGAAAGCTAAATACATATTCTTCATTTGAATTGTTTACTTTGCCAATGCTTAAGCTAACATCACTTGCTTGTTATTAATTAAAAAATCAAATTTGTTGAAGCCGCGTGTTATAAATAATAGGCTTCTTTAATTAAACCAAATTTTATAATATGAGTTCTTTATCTTATTGACGTTTACAAATAGAAAATCGAAGTTTATTATTACGGAATGAGTTTGATTATTATTCAAATAAACGGGGTAAAATTAAGAAAGAGATAATTGTGATCGAGTATTTTGGATATTCCCAACAAAGTTACAAGTTGTAAGTTTCAACACGAGTACACTACAATCAAATGTATTTTAAAGAAGTAGTATGTATGACCTCGCGGTTATAATCGCTGCATCAATTCACTGTGTACTTTATGCTCAACTGGTTGGCTGAGATTGACGTTTTGGTTACATAGCATTCAACTTCGAATTTTTACTCCTGACATATCAAACTTTGACTCCAGCGTCGGGTTACGGGGTGTTTGAAAGTGAAAGTATTGACTCTTGACCCCAGAAAAAGTATTCCCATTTTTTACCATTCAAACATTTTCAATGTTTTATTCGAAAATGTTTTAACTATAGCGATTAAAATCTGGTTGTATGAAGATTGGCATCAATTTATTTTAAAATACATAGCTACCTGTCTTTTCAAAGTTATGATAGCTTATTTTAACTGACTTACACTAATTTTAAATGGGTGGAAAGGGTTTACAGGCAACAGAATTTGACAACTGAAATTTAGTTTTGTTAAAGTAAGTGAAATTAAAACATTGACAGCAAATAATAAAGTTGGACAAAGTTAAATGAACTCGTTTCATGTCCATCGCAATTATACATTTAGGGTCCGAATCTCAAGTTAAATTCTCGAAATACTATAGATAGCATTTTAGGGGTTTGAAAGTATGACTCCGATTTCAAATAAAGAGAGAGATGGTGAAAATTTATTGATTTGTCGATCATATTGAAATAGCAAATTACGCAGCATTTATTTTGGTATAGACTGGGAGATGGCGATACGACCGGAGGTCATCGAATATAGCCACCATCCATTCCAACCAAATAATCACTAAAGAAACAAAACGGTCCATCGGTTCACTTCATGTTCAATGAGAGAATAGTTGTAAAGTAGTTAACTGCCAGATATGTTGAAACATAAAGTATACACTCTCAAGACAAGATGTATATATAAGCGAACAAGTTAATAGTAGAAAATTAGTAGGAAAAAGATGAGCAAACGGCGACTTTGGGACAATTATCAAAATGCTAAGCGGTATATATATATATATATTATGCAAATATTGGCAATCAGTGAAATAACACGCAAACAATGCATAATTCTATAAAAATCGCCACGTGTATTCATAAACTGATATAAATAGTATATGATATTACTTTCATGATATTACTTTCAATTTCATATAAATATTGAGTAAATAATAAAATTCAATATTTGCCTCTGGTCAATCGTCCAAGGAATACAACCGAGTGGTTCAATACTCAAAGTTCAGAAGACGCACCTGATGCCCAGACGAGGCAGTACTCTAACGCAATTGTAGCCGTGCTTGGCTCGAATTAAAAATAAGGTTCCAACCGTAGTTCTAGAGCCATCTATCTATTGCCTTCGTATTACACCTGGCTTGGCTAGCTGCAAATTCTAGTCTAAGACTATCGAATCCAAGCCGAGGAACTGACAGTCAGATGCCAGGCAGAAATTCGAAGACTCGGAAGTCATTGTTTCTACAGCGGTCAACGTGAGTCGCCGAGAACAAAAAATACAACAGATAAAATACTGCACCCAGAATAGGGCAAAGCTGTCACAGCCACCAATACCAATACCAGGCCAGGCCGACTTCCATAGCTTCTGCTTTTGAAAAGGCGAGCAATGCTTGGGTTCGGAAAGCGAAACATCACAAAGACTGGGCGTTATCAAGCTAGCACGGGCTAGCGGTGGTGATGGCCAGGTCGTCCTGACGACGACATTCCCAAAAGGTTGTAGATGATCGACAAGATTGCATAGCATTCTGTCGAAATGTTAAAAGCCGTGTAAAATTAGTCGTGAATGTATCTTCGATGACTCTCAAACAAGTGTATAGAGTAGCCCCACCACATGTACACGTGCTGATTATGTTGTAAAGTTTATTGGGATTACATTTATTAAGTATGGCTGCTGGAATCCAGATCGGCTCTGGTTTAGGCGCTTTCATTAGACTTGCAGGTCCACAAACAAAAAATAAAATATATCACGTAAACAACTGATATACTAAAAACTTGAAGTGATTTACGTTGACGGAATTCGAACTTATCATGCTGTTTTTGACAGTGTTTGTGAACGTCAAACATATATTGTCAGTCAAATATATATATGTATATTGTCTTATTCATTAGATTCTCTGTTTAGAGAATCTAATGAATATTTTTTTATATTTTCCTGAAGCAAGAAAAAGAGAGTATAAAATTGCTTTACCACAAAGACGTAAATAGACCATTGTCCGGTTACCATTGACAGTTGATTATGTGAATGTCAAAATCAGTTAACTGTTTCAGAAGCATTGGCTTACATGGTAAGAGAAGCAGTATCCGACTAGTGGTTACATTAATTACCCCACAGCTGAAAGGAGTTGAGCTTGAAGAAATACTTAAAGTTTGATTCATATTTCGATTGATATTCCGCAATTGCTTAATAAGGACATGGCTGGATAATCAATATTATTGAAATTTATTTCGACGTTTATAAGGTCCATGAAATGTAAGCAAAATTGATATCTATTAAAATCAGTTAAAAGCTCAAGTGTACAAAACATGATATTAAATAATGCTTTTTTTAAATAACCCATATAATAATAACCCATAATACCCCACAGCTGCAAGGAGTTGCGCTTGGAGAAATACTTAATGTTTGATTCATATTTCGATTGATATTCCGCAATTGCTTAATGAGGACATGGCTGGATAATCAATATTTTGAAATTTAATCCGAAGTTATTAGGGTCCATGAAATGTTAGCAAAATTGAAATCTATTAAAAGCATAAGTGTACAAAACATGATATTAAATAATGATTTTTTTAAATAACCCATATAATTTTATTGGATGGATAAATTAAGAGGTCGAGCATTTGACTCGTAATTAAAACTCTTCCGTATTGACTGTTATTTAATAAATACATCGTTTACTACAATCATTTTCATCATTTAATCCATAATTATATGAAAGTTATTATATCATATATCGGTTTGTGAATAAAACATGGCGATTTGTACAATGTTCAACAGTGTAGGATTGCAGTTCGTGAGAGATTTATCATTCAAACTGTCCAAACTCTAGTTTGAATTTGGAAAAAATAAATTGAGTATACTAAGGCGATTAGAGGTATTTCTGTTCGCTCGAAATTGTAGTTTAGTTTTTATATATGTCGCATTATTGAGATAAATTTCTGAATTATGGAATTCAACGCAGGCTACAATTCCACAATGATGATGTCATCAACTTCTTCTGAAAATATAACATTAATTGCATGGAAGGATTTGGAAAAGTATTTTTGTGAATTTTATTTAAATTTCAAAAACTTCTACGACATACTAAATATCATTTCTAAATTAATAGGGAGGCCTGGGAGCGAGGAATATTCAGTCTGTCTGAAGCAATTGCGTTTTCAGTGGCAGTTGGACTGATGTTCATATTTAGTACGATTGCAAACATTGTCACAATAACTGTTATAGCGAAGACGCCAAAGTTGATATCGTGAGTTTCATTTTTATCTTCCTAGTTCTCAAAATCTGTGTAAAAAATAATTTTTTTTATTGAAATTTTAGGAAATAAATTTTAATTTATGGGCAGCAGACTGTATATCCTTTTATCCGCACTGATCTTTTTTAAAAATGTACCAGAACCTTGAAATATGCTATCATGAAAACAAATATTATTACTATCAAGCTGGTTGAAACCAAAAGTGATTCTCTCGTCATGATATAACCTAGTTTTTCTCATTGTGAGGCAGCTTTGGACGTTGGACAACCTTAGGGAATTGGTACGGTATTTGCACATTATCTCCTAAATATATATATATCTTTTTACAGATCACCATTCAACATCATGATCATTAGTCTGTGTGTTTCTGATCTGATATCAACTATTTACAGTCCTTTCATCTTGTTTTGGAAAACATTTGGCTTGTTCGAGTATCCACTTCCTGTGTTTTTCTGCAAGGTATTAATTAGTTCTAATTAACCAACAGAAATCGAGACTCAGAAATTTTCGATGTTGATTTCGTCATGAGTTAAATCTAACTTGGAACTTGAACATTTTTAAATATCTGATGATTTCAGAATCAAATTGAATATTTTTTTCGAATCGAATCATGAATACTTGGAAGATATGTAGTTGCATTGACTGTTTTATTTTAATGAATCCTCAAGACACATAAATTAGTGAAAACACGTAATCTAACGCTCAGACAGTTCGCTGAGTGTCGAAACACATTAGGAATCATGTTTAGCCAATAACTCATCCGGGAGAAAAGAGTCGCAGAATTGCATATCTCAGAATTGCATGTAAAAAATTGATATGAATAAAAAAAAATGAGGGATTCATCTCGACCTGTAGGCGGACAAAAAAAAGTTGAAGGCGATTCTAAATTTCCGTCTGAACCGATTCGAATAATTTACTATTTGATTCGAAATGCCCAGTCCTATTCATTATACCTGTCAAAGCTTTATTTATCTTTCACGATTTAAAAATGAGAGCAGTTACAATATTTCGTTACGGCATCAAGGTGAGGAACAAATAGAAATTTATTATTTTTTGTTCAGAGTACGTTTGCTGTAGATTATTGGACGAACTCCGTGACTATCCAACATATACTATGTTTTCTTGCGATCAGATTGATTGCAATGAAGTATCCGCACAGGCTAAAAAGATTTACCATCCAAAGGGCTAAGGTAATAATACAACACAATAAACTTTAGAATATATATATCAAGTTATATGCGTATTATAAAACATTAATATGAAACATTACATATTTAGATGTTAGTGTGTTTTATTTGGCTTGAAACGGCTCTGGGAAATTTGATATTTGCAATGTGGCTTCCTCATGTGTATCCTTCATCTGATTTGAGTCCTACCGGCAAATCATGTGCAGTTCATCATGCAAGGTCAGTTTACAAGATCCAAAATTTAAGTAGAACAGCTAAATAATTTACACATTAATAAGCTGATGTAACAAGATAAAATTATTGTCTTTTAATACACTCTACATCGATCCATGTTTGATCAGTTAATATTAATAAGCTAATTCAATTAAAGGGCATATCGAACTAATTAATTTCTAACATCCCAACAGCAACAAAAACATTTCAAACAAGCTAATTATTTTAGATGGAAATACGCAAGATTATTTTTCTACATCGGCCATCCTATATTTTTGTTTATACCTACAATTCTGATTGTAATATTGACATTTTTTTTAATTGGAGTTCTCACGAAGAGGATGGAAAGCATTCGGGAACGTGAGTATAAACTTGAGAGGTTGGGTTTATTTTTGAATCTTGAGCTTTGGAAGTCAAGTTTCATTTCACTCCATATCGCTGACTTTACAACAATAGCACAAGATTTTATACTTAATAAAATGTCATTTATTCAGTAATCGTAAAAATTGTTCCATTGTTTCAATTGAACAAAAATTAAAAGGTCTCATCTATTCATTTGCTGTTCGGAACAGAAACGGTCCCTTCACCAAATTTGGGAAATAAGATTCTATGTATCAGAATCAAAATTCATTAATAAAATCACCAATGGGTGAATGACGTTTGGTGGTATGTATCGATATTTCAATATATATAAATATTGAAGAACAATGGCTTTTGAGAACATGGTGTATTCAGGAAAAAAGAACGATGCAAACCTGAAGAAAGAAAATGCTGCTCTGATTCAACTTACGCTGATCGTACTTTCTTTCTTGATTGGATACTTGCCAGATTTCGGTACTTAAAACAATAATAGTTTATAAATGAGGGAGAGATGAAACATTATTATTTTACTGGTGGAAACAATAAAAATTTCAATAACCCGGAACTGAAGTAAAAACTTTCAACCCGGAAAGAAGATTTTCATCACCGGCATTCAAATTTGGAATGTCTGGTAACGAAATATCTCTGACTCAACAGCTTGTTAAAAAGGTTGATAGCGTAATGAGGTTGGGATATATCGTATATGTATTCGTTTAGTAATATTTTGTAAAACAAAAATTAATGGTTTCGTTCAAAATATTCGTTTTTCGAGAATACGCCCGACACCTGCAATCACAAACAAACAGTATAACAATTGTAGAATATATTGCCCATATTGAATTTGATAAATGATTTTTGAAGAAATAGCAAAAAAGGGTGAAAAGATCTGGTATTAATGACAATTGTTGTTTTGATTTTGCGATTAACTTGCCCGGTCATAAAGCAGAAAGGCTGCGGGTTGTCATGGAAACCATTTTCATTTCTTCTACCCCTAACTTTTACCAAAACCCGTTTCTGACCATATTTTCAGCGATATTGTGGTGTTTCAAAACTAGATCTGAATAGATTCACTATTAGAAACAAAAACAGGTTGTTTTATAAAGTTAAAAACAAATCTTTAATTTTAAGTCTCATTCCGCTAGTTTGAACGAAATTAATCTTAGTTTCATGTTTTATTATCGGGGACTCAGTTCGTGGACAACAGATAATGAAATGACCGCAAGAGATTTGATGTTCTTGAGAACATTTACCATTATTTGGAATTAAAAAAACTTCTGTGAAGTTGAGGCCCAGTTTCTAAAATTGCGAAATCACCGTTGCTTAGTTTTTACTAAGACTCCCCTAGAACATACTCAAAGATGCGAGTGCTCTTTGCATTTGCAGTAAACTGCACAGGAATGCGACATTCCCGGATTTGCAAGCAAGTTAATTTTGTCGTTTTTCAGGATATAAAATCTTTCTCCTAATTTACAACGTGTTGAGAAAAAGAGTTGACGCAAGAAGTTCCTGGCTTTTCAGCATGTTGGCCCACATACTCCTGAGAATTTCCGAATGCCTGAATCCCGTGTTCTACAATCTAGGTTCTAGGTAATTTAGGAGTTCTGGTAGTATTTTTTGCTTTTGATATATTAAAATCAAAACAAAACTCTGATAATAATGAATACCCAAAAGATTGTAATACAACGTAGCCCACAGATTGAGATGAGAAAAAAAGTAAAACATACAACCTTTGAAAGCCTAGAAAGATCAACATTTTTAATTATATATATATTTATATATACTGTATTGCATTCAGTCAAATGAGAGAAGCTACGTTCAAATTTCTTCGAATTGGAGAGAACGGACCAGCAGGAGAACCAATACCATTAGATGGCGTAAAAGAAAAATCTGAACAAACACACAAAACAGCCGCTAGTTCGGTATGACTGTGGCATCGGATGATTATATTGAATCTATCTGTCGAAAAATGGTTCGCGCATTGGAATGCATCAATAACTTGAAACCGTTTGAATTATTCCGAAAGTGGCCCCATATTGTTGGTAAAGCCTTGACTATCCTAATGAACAAAAATACAATACAAGTCTATATGTTTTAACATTATATAAAGTTATTTTTTATCATATCTGTTGTGGCTAGTAAAATTTCATTTAAGCATTTGATGTTGTTTAGTCCTTATTTACTTTTTCGTTGTTTAGTCCCGATTTTTTTTTTCATGTGTTGTTTACATCACCTATTGAATAAAAACGTCATTTGATAAACAATAACCCTGTTTTAATTGGAAGTTAAAAAGTCATTATAAGGTAACAGGTGGAAACCAGAAAAATTGAAATTTATTTAAAGGCGGCATGCAGTATTGTAAAGGTAGTAATATCAAATTTATGAAGTTTTTAAGTTGATAAATACACTCTGTACGCTATTCAATAGTGAGATAGACTAGGAGTGCAGTTGACAAAACATCAGGTAAACTAGGTTGATTAAGACAAAAAGTTTTTTTTAAAAGTTGAATCACAAAATTCAATTCAAAAAATAATAATTTGAAGCATTCCCTTTCCAATAAGATTGTATTTCAGCTTTATTTCGAAGGTTTCACAATTGCAATGTCAATAAGTCAAACAATGTACCATGTGGCAACCTGGGATACAAAATTTTAGGATGAAGATGATTTAGGACACCAAGTGTACATAAGAATAGTTTTTCTGAATTTTTGTTGCGTTTGTGAAATTGTAGTTTAGTTTTTATATATGTCGCATTATTGAGATAAATTTCTGAATTATGGAATTCAACGCAGGCTACAATTCCACAATGATGATGTCATCAACTTCTTCTGATAATATAACATTAATTGGAACATGGAAGGATTTGGAAAAGTATTTTTGTGAATTTTATTTAAATTTCAAAAACTTCTACGACATACTAAATATCATTTCTAAATTAATAGGGAGGCCTGGGAACGAGGAATATTCAGTCTGTCTGAAGCAATTGCGTTTTCAGTGGCAGTTGGACTGATGTTCATATTCAGCATGATTGCAAACATTGTCACAATAACTGTTATAGCAAAGACGCCAAAGTTGATATTGTGAGTTTCATTTTTATCTTCCTAGTTCTCAAAATCTGTGTAAAAAATAATTTTTTTTATTGAAATTTTAGGAAATAAATTTTAATTTATGGGCAGCAGACTGTATATCCTTTTATCCGCACTGATCTTTTTTAAAAATGTACCAGAACCTTGAAATATGCTATCGTGAAAACAAATATTATTACTATCAAGCTGGTTGAAACCAAAAGTGATTCTCTCGTCATGATATAACCTAGTTTTTCTCATTGTGAGGCAGCTTTGGACGTTGGTCAACCTTAGGGAATTGGTACGGTATTTGCACATTATCTCCTAAATATATATATATCTTTTTACAGATCACCATTCAACATCATGATCATTAGTCTGTGTGTTTCTGATCTGATATCAACTATTTACAGTCCTTTCATCTTGTTTTGGAAAACATTTGGCTTGTTCGAGTATCCACTTCCTGTGTTTTTCTGCAAGGTATTAATTAGTTCTAATTAACCAACAGAAATCGAGACTCAGAAATTTTCGATGTTGATTTCGTCATGAGTTAAATCTAACTTGGAACTTGAACATTTTTAAATATCTGATGATTTCAGAATCAAATTGAATACTTTTTTCGAATCGAATCATGAATACTTGGAAGATATGTAGTTGCATTGACTGTTTTATTTTAATGAATCCTCAAGACACATAAATTAGTGAAAACACGTAATCTAACGCTCAGACAGTTCGCTGAGTGTCGAAACACATTAGGAATCATGTTTAGCCAATAACTCATCCGGGAGAAAAGAGTCGCAGAATTGCATATCTCAGAATTGCATGTAAAAAATTGATATGAATAAAAAAAAAATGAGGGATTCATCTCGACCTGTAGGCGGACAAAAAAAAGTTGAAGGCGATTCTAAATTTCCGTCTGAACCGATTCGAATAATTTACTATTTGATTCGAAATGCCCAGCCCTATTCATTATACCTGTCAAAGCTTTATTTGTCTTTCACGATTTAAAAATGAGAGCAGTTACAATATTTCGTTACGGCATCAAGGTGAGGAACAAATAGAAATTTATTATTTTTTGTTCAGAGTACGTTTGCTGTAGATTATTGGACGAACTCCGTGACTATCCAACATATACTATGTTTTCTTGCGATCAGATTGATTGCAATGAAGTATCCGCACAGGATAAAAAGATTTACCATCCAAAGGGCTAAGGTAATAATACAACACAATAAACTTTAGAATATATATATCAAGTTATATGCGTATTCCAAAACATTAATATGAAACATTACATATTTAGATGTTAGTGTGTTTTATTTGGCTTGAAACGGCTCTGGGAAATTTGATATTTGCAATGTGGCTTCCTCATGTGTATCCTTCATCTGATTTGAGTCCTACCGGCAAATCATGTGCAGTTCATCATGCAAGGTCAGTTTACAAGATCCAAAATTTAAGTAGAACAGCTAAATAATTTACACATTAATAAGCTGATGTAACAAGATAAAATTATTGTCTTTTAATACACTCTACATCGATCCATGTTTGATCAGTTAATATTAATAAGCTAATTCAATTAAAGGGCATATCGAACTAATTAATTTCTAACATCCCAACAGCAACAAAAACATTTCAAACAAGCTAATTATTTTAGATGGAAATACGCAAGATTATTTTTCTACATCGGCCATCCTTTATTTTTGTTTATACCTACATTTCTGATTGTAGTATTGACGTTTTTTTTAATTGGAGTTCTCACGAAGAGGATAGAAAGCATTCGGGAACGTGAGTATATACTTGAGAGGGTGGGTTTATTCTTAAATCTTGAGCTTTGGAAGTTTTTTGCTGACTTTACAACAATAGCACAAGATTTTATACTTAATAAAATGTCATTTATTCAGTAATTGTAAAAAATTTTCCATTGTTTCCATTAAACAAAAATTAAATGGTTTCATCTATGCATTTTCTGTTCGGAACAAAAACGGTCCCTTCACCAAATTTGGGAAATAAGATTCTATGTATCAGAATCAAAATTCATTAATAAAATCACCAATGGGTGGGTGACGATTGGTGGTATGTATCAATATTTCAATATATATATATTGAAGAACAATGGCTTTTGAGAGCATGATACATTCAGGAAAAAAGAACGATGCAAACCTGAAGAAAGAAAATGCTGCTCTGATTCAACTTGCACTGATCGTACTTTCTTTCTTGATTGGATACTTGCCAGATTTCGGTAATTAAAACAATAATAGTTTATGAATGAGGGAGAGATAAAACATTATTATTTTACTGGTGGAGACAATCGAAATTTTAATAACCCGGAACTGAAGTCGAAACTTTCAACCCGGAAAGAAGATTTTCATCATCGGCATTCAAATTTGGAATGTCTGGTAACAAGATATCTTCGACTCAACAGCTTGTTAAGAAGGTTGATAGCTAAATATAGTTGGGATATTTATATATATCGTATATGTATTCGTTAAGTAATATTTTGTAAAACAAAAATTAATGGTTTCGTTCAAAATATTCGTTTTTCGATAATACGCCCGACACCTGCGATAACACACAAAAAGTATAACACTTGTAGAATATATTGCCCAGGTTGAATTTCATAAATGACTTTTAAAGCAATAGCAAAAAAGGGTGAAAAGATCTGGTATTAATGACAACTATTGTTTCGATTTTATGATTAGACTTGCCCGGTCATAAAGCAGAAAGGATGCGGGTTGTCATGGTAACCATTTTCATTTCTTCTACCCCTAACTTTTACCAAAACCCGTTTCTGACCATATTTTCAGCGATATTGTGGTGTTTCAAAACTAGATCTGAATAGATTCACTATTAGAAACAAAAACAGGTTGTTTTATAAAGTTAAAAACGAATCTTTGATTTTAAGTCTCAGTCCACTAGTTTGAACGAAATTGAGCTTAGTTTCATGTTTTATTATCGGGGACGCAGTTCGTGGACAACAGATAATGAAATGACCGCGAGAGATTTGATGTTCTTGAGAACATTTACCATTTTTTGGAATTAAAAAAACTTCCGTGAAGTCGAGACCCAGTTTCTGAAATTGCGAAATCACTGTTGCTTAGTTTCTACTAAGACTCCCCCTAGAACATACTCAAGGATGTGAGTGCTTTTTGCATTTGCAGTAAATTGCACAGAGATGCGACATCTACGAATTTGCAAGCAAGTTAATTTTGTCGTTTTTCAGGATATAAAATCTTTCTCTTAATTTACAACGTGTTGAGAAAAAGAGTTGACGCAAGAAGTTCCTGGCTTTTCAGCATGTTGGCCCACATACTCCTAAGAATTTCCGAATGCCTGAATCCCGTGTTCTACAATCTAGGTTCCAGGTAATTTAGGAGTTCTGGTAGTATTCTTTGTTTTCGATATATTAAAATCAAAACAAAACTCTGATAATAATGAATACCCAAAAGATTGTAATACAACGTAGCCCATCAGATTGAGATGAGAAAAAAAAGTAAAACATACAACCTTCGAAAGCCTAGAAATATCAACATTTTTAATTATATATATATTTATATATACTGTATTGCATTCAGTCAAATGAGAGAAGCTACGTTCAAATTTCTTCGAATTGGAGAGAACGGACCAGCAGGAGAACCAATACCATTAGATGGCGTAAAAGAAAAATCTGAACAAACACACACAACAGCCGCTAGTTCGGTATGACTGTGGCATCGGATGATTATATTGAATCTATCTGTCGAAAAATGGTTCGCGCATTGGAATGCATCAATAACTTGAAACCGTTTGAATTATTCCGAAAGTGGCCCCATATTGTTGGTAAAGCCTTGACTATCCTAATGAACAAAAATACAATACAAGTCTATATGTTTTAACATTATATAAAGTTATTTTTTATCATATCTGTTGTGGCTAGTAAAATTTCATTTAAGCATTTGATGTTGTTTAGTCCTTATTTACTTTTTCGTTGTTTAGTCCCGATTTTTTTTTTCATGTGTTGTTTACATCACCTATTGAATAAAAACCTCATTTGATAAACAATAACCCTGTTTTAGTTGGAAGTTAAAAAGTCATTATATATATAAGGTAACAGATGGAAACCAGAAAAATTGAAATTTATTCAAAGGCGACATGCGGTATTGTAAAGGTAGTAATATCAAATTTATGAAGTTTTTAAACTGATAAATACACTTTGTACGCTATTCAATAGTGAGATAGACTAGGAGTGCAGTTGACAAAACATCAGGCAAACTTGGTTGATTAACGCAAAAAGTTTTTTTTACAAGTTGAATCACAAAATTCAATTCAAAAAAAAAATAATTTGAAGCATTCCCTTTTCAATAAGATTGTATTTCAGCTTTATTTCAAAGGTTTTCACAATTGCAATGTCAAAAGTCGAATAATGTACCATGTGGCAACCTGGGAAACAAAATTTTACGATGAAGATGATTTAGGACACCAAGTGTACATAAGAATAGTTTTTCTGAATTTTTGTTGCGTTTGTGGTTGCTAAGGAGATTGTAATTTCCCCTAACGATTTTAAGACTCTAGAATTCGACTCGTTTAATTCTTTTAAGTATTTTTGCAATTCAGAGAAACACATTTTTATTCCGTCAAGCTTGCCCGCTTACGTTACAACTGTCCTCCGTTTTGATCACCGAACTCGGTTCCGGGCGTTACATAGTTACCCGTTACTCTGTGCCTGAGACAAGTTGTGTTCGTTAGCCTCCTTTGTCAAAATTTATAGAATTTGACCAATGCAATAAAATACAAAACACGATATGACAGCTAAAGTGAACACAAATGTAGGGGGAAAACTTCGCCTTCTATCGACGTCAAGTGGGATGTTACGTAACCTCGGAGTCAAATTTCAAGTCTATATTTTGTGACTCAACTGTGGTATATTTTATATTTCTATACCAAGCACAAAGGTATCAAATAAATGTCTCGCTGGTAAATACAAAATTATCCACCTCAGTACGGCATACATCTCCGATTTCAAGATTGTTCTGAAATTGAGGCTTATATAAAAGAAACGCAATGATTGTTTGTGAAAGAAAAGAGGGCGCCTGGGAGAACGGAACTGAAAATGCGTAATGTTGTTTCGAATTAGGCTCCTTGGGTGTAGCTATTGAAAACATATGTTCACAGAACATGATATCACATAACTACCCTTTTTCAAATATCTATATATTTATGAGAAATAGATAAATTAAGTTCGTATATTTAATACTCAGTTTCATTGGCTGTTATTAGTGCCGACAAAAAAAATTTTCTGAGGAAATGCGATATCATTCGGATGACTGATTTTCAATTTTTTTCTCCATTTAATAAATGTATGAAAGTGATAATATTAAAAATATTTCAGCTTGTATATATGAAGCATTGTGATTTGTACACTGTCCAACGGTGTGCAGTTAGTAAGGCCAGATTGACCGAGGCAAAAGTTTCTTAGAAATTGAAGCTAGAACATAAATACAGCAATAGGATATATAATATTTTATAACAAAAAACTATAAACTTCATCTTAATGACAATATAAAGTTACGCGGAACATGGAACGCGACGCTGGTTACAATTTCACAATGGTAATGTCATCAACTGTTCCTTCAAATATGACCACGATTGTGCCTGAAAATTTGAAAAGGTATTTTTGTTAATTTTATTAGCATTTGAAAATGTTCTATTTAGTACACGTGTTATTCTTAATTTAATAATATATAGGGAGGCCTGGGAACGAGGAATATTCAGTCTTTCTGAAGCAATTGCGTTTTCAGTGGCAGTTGGAGTGATGTTCATATTCAGCATGGTTGCAAACATTGTCACAATAACTGTTATAGCAAAGTCACCAAAATTGATGTTGTGAGTTTCATTTTATTTTTCTAGTCCACCGAATTAGTATATATAAATAAGAAATAAATATGATTCATGTGCAGCAAACTTGATACCTATATCTATCGCTATTGATCTATCTTTCATAAATGTACCATAATCTTGGAATATGCATCTTTCATTATAATATATATAGATATATACTTAGTTTTTCTGTGGGTCGTTGGGATACAGCTGGAATTCATACAATTGAGTCATATCGAGAAATGGATATTAAATAATGGAACTTCACATTTTTTTTGTAGTCCCGTTTCCCCTTTTTCGCTACAATTTCATTCTACAATCGTTATTCTTCAATAGTGGTCATACCCAACCTTTTTTGTTCAATTTCTCAATTTGCCCATTCTGGAACCCGTTTGACCTCTTAACATATGCATAAAACTACTTTATTTGTTTGATCTTCAAGAGATTCTTTGCTGGTCTCATGTGCAAGTTGCACTCTCGTTTTTGTACAGTTTGAATAGTTTATTATGTTTTTTAGGAAATAAGTATTATAGTAATTAGTAATAGTTAGTGTTTTAGTTTTCTCCATGGGGGGAAATTCTTTTTCGGTTTGGATACGAAGTTCTATAGCAAAAAGCAGTGTACTTGCTTGATCGACTGACAAGGCGAATATCAGTCTTCACATTATCTTCCAAATATGAATATATATTGTTTTACAGATCACCATTCAACCACATGATCATTAGTCTGTGTGTTTCAAATCTATTATCAACTATTTACAGCCCCTTTGTCGTGTATTGGAAAACATTTGGCTTGTTTGAGTATCTACTTCCCGAAATTTTCTGCAAGGTATTCGTATTTAGTTGAGTGAGTAAACCTGAAAAATAAAAGTTGTCAAATTTCATTGTGTCACAGTTCATTGTGAACAAATTAATTTCGTTATTAGTTAAATCCAACTTGGAATGTTGGAAGAAATATTAACTTTTACGGGATTCTAAATTAAGATTTTCGTGTGAGTGCCAATTGAAACAAATAATGATTTCTGTACTAAATTTTACTGAATGAAAATCATAATCATGGTATTACCACATTCCAACGATATTTACAAACGTACAGCGTTTCTCAAACTGAAGCGATTCTACAATAATTTAAAGCCAATCAATTGTGATTTGCGCAATTTCTTGACTGTAATGCAATTATTTTACTTTTTTATTTTACTTTTATTTTCTAGTTGGCTTTTCAATATACTTGTTGTAGCCAAACTACTTACATTTATTATTAGGGGCTCACAGTCACGGAAAGTTTGAAAACTATAATATAGTTAAAGAAGTGTACCATTCGCTGTATATAAGAAAAAGAGCCCGAGTGCCAAAATAACTATCTGTATTTATATATGATCTACCATTGAAGCTCTCTCGTTCTCTTTGATTTTCTTGATCCGTGGTACAGCCTGGACGATGGTTTTGTCTTTTGGAAATATAGTTTTTTGACTCTAAAATCTTGATAAAAATTGGCGCAGCTCATATAAAAGAAAGCAAAACAGTATTTTTTCTTACAAAATTTCCTGTTTGTATCGGATGGGAGACTCAATAGTCAATACTGATTCATTATTTTTTTGTTCAGAGTACGTTTGCTATAGATTATTGGACGAACTCTATGACTATTCAACATATATTATGTTTTCTTGCAATTAGAACAGTTGCAATAAAGTATCCACACAAGTTAAACAAATTCACCATTCAGAGAGCTAAGGTAACCTAATGCATCAACATAGACTTCCATGAATATACTGTACATATCAAATTATGCGTTATATAAAACACATTACATATTTAGATGTTGATATGTTTCATTTGGTTCGAAACTGCTTTGGGAAATTTGATATTAGGAATGTGGCTACCTCATGTATATCTCTCATCTGAATTGAGTCTTACAGGAAGGACATGTGCAGTTCATCGTTCACGGTCAGTACACAAATAACACGAGATCTATTATTTATCCCCGATTTTATTAACTGGCCACTTTTCTCTTTAACTACTGATGCTTTTAATCAAATTTCAGTGGTTAAATATTGTCTATGTCACTAAAAGGCTATTATTTTTATATATTTTAAAAATTTGGGATTTGTTTTTCACTTTGAAGTTTTGTGTGATGTATTGTCATATAAATTAAAAATTTCGCTACGTGTGGAAGATTCCGTGATCGCATTTCAGCGATCTGATGGCCAGAAGATTTTTTTGGTAAGAAATACTACCTGTACTGTAAAATATTTGACATTTCTTCGTTTGGGCTTTCGTGTCCGCATATTTGAGCATTGCTATCTTATTTTTTCATATTCAACATCATTAAAAATCGAATATTGGAATGAAATATCTATTTCAGATGGAAATACGCAGGATTGTTTTTCTACATTGGCAACTCTATATTTTTGTTTATACCCACATTTCTGATTGTAATATTGACTGTTTTTTTAATTGGAGTTTTCACGAAAAGAATGGAAAGCATTCGGGAAAGTGAGTATATATATATTATGCTGAAACAGCTGAGTAGACTATATTTTTAATTTTTGAGCTATTGTAGTCGAGTTTTGCAAACCAGTATGTTTTAGTCCGAATGAACTTTGTTGCAGAATCAGAAAATAAGGACAATTTTCATACTTTTGGAATATCATTTAGCAGTAAATTTGAAATTTGTTTTATTATTACTCTTGTGAAACTATATGAAACTCTCATCAAACTATTTGCTGTTAGGCAATTGTACCAAAATGTTTCCTACCTTCCCTAAGATTGTATCCAAAGATTCAGTATTCTGGGACGATATGCATAAGAGTTATGTCCTTACAACTACTATGTATATACTAGAATATATATACATGGTGTCCCAAAAGTAGGTGTACAGTTATTAAACTATTTTATATGCTTTGAAGCTACTTGCAGTTCACTTTATGTTACTTGTTAAGTACCACAAAAATTGCTTAATTTTTCAGATAATAAATCTAGTGTGAATTTTACATTAGTTTTCTAGCTTCTTGGAAGATAATAAAAAATAAATAAAATAACTGTATACCTACTTTCGGGCCACCCTGTATATCCGAAACGTATTTGGAGCATCCTGTACTTATACAGCAATGAATGTGTCAAAGCTTGGGCTTACCGTAAATGCTCGTTTTACCGCCCGATCTTGATTAAGAGCTCGTTTGAATAGCCGCCCGTGTGATCAGAACATGAAAATAAATAAGGGCCGGTGCTTGAATACCCGCCCGATGTAAAAGCTGATTTTTCAGTGGTATAGAACAATAGGAAATAAGAAGCGCTTTTGTCACAACGCTGTTGAATTTTTAATTTTTTTGAAAATTGAAAAAGTCGCCGATAACGCGTACGATTGACTTTTGCTAAAATTGCCGAAGGTTTTCATCGTTGTGACGTGTTATTTAGGCCGTAAACGCCTTTACGTTGACGTTTATTGTCTCTAAACCACAAATTTTCCACAAATTTGTACCACGATAACGATGACAATTATTTTATTTTGCTACTCGCACGGAATTGACGGAATTGTGCATCCGGTGAGATTTATTATACGTTCATCAGTGGCGAGATTCTAAAGACAAATTAATGAATAAATCCACGAGCTAAATTGTTTGATTGAAAAACGGCAATATAAAATACTGAAAATAAAACTGTAAACAAGTGTTGTTGAGGCCCGCGACAGTCTAAAAACGCTTTTCCATGCATTGAAAATCGCAAAATTTCGTCTGCCTACGGCACACATTATGTTCGCTCCGCGTTCAGAACTTATCGTCACTAGAATCGAAACACGGTGACTTGTGAGCGGGATTTACCTTGTTATCCATTACTTTTACTAAAATTGCCGTCGAAAATGTTCGTGTTGGCATTAAACAAGGTTGAGAACGCGACTTTTCCCGGTTTGTGATGATGTATAAGATAATTAATCTGTAAAGTACATTCGAACAAAATTTATTGTACTAAAATAAAATTTATCCGTGAGATTTTAAAGCAGAATTACGGATTTTTCTGAACGTTTTATCCTTAAAAATGATCGGAGTGGCAGCATTGCGATTGAAAGGAGTCAGTGTTACAAGTACATCTCAAATTTGCGGAATTTGCAAAAAAGCAAAAATACGGATCAAAACAATATATAATCGGGCAGTTTACCACACATTTTTATGTCCGCGGAATGCCTTGGTGCTTTAGAGTGGCTCTTGTTTTGTCGACGCAACCACAGTTTAAATTGATGACAATTAAATTAATAAAGCAAGACATTTTAAATATGCCCGTACCGGTCATGGGTTGATTACTTTGCACAACAGAAAATTCATTTTTGTTGAAAAAGTCAGCTCTTTTAAAAAGTGGTGTTACGCGACGACTGTTTGACGTGGATTTCGAGGCGGTGAAGACGGGTGAATATGTGTATTTGATTTACTGATATAACCTACTTTATATGTATTTTCATTGTATGAAGTAAAATTGTACTATACGGCTTTTATAACAGATATTAAGATTTTTCTATCGGCTATAACGAGTTCGCAAGATTGCAAAACTAGGTATCAAAATTAAATACATCAGGCAGCTTATCTCGTATTTTTATGTCCACAGATCGCCGTGGTATTTTAGAGAAATAATGTTTTATTTTGACGTAAGAAGTCGCAACCGCTAGTTACGTTGGACACAATTAAATTAATATATAAGGACATTTTCGAATTTCCTAGTTGTCATGGATTGAATAATTTAAGCAACAGAAAAATCATTATACGCTGAAAAGGCGGCTCTTTTAACGAGCACGTAATCGTCGTGACTGTTACACACGGTAATTAGAATTTCCAATTTTGAAACCCCTCCCTTTACGTAACACCATGGTTCTCAAACTGGGCGTCGCAAAACTTTTCTTCTTTTGCGGATTTGTACCTGCGGTGCGTGGAAAAAGTCAAAATTTTCGTTATTCTCGTTTATATCATACTTGAGAACTGGAAATAACAATATGATAATTATTGTAACAATCGAAAATAACAAGCGCCCGTGCTTAAATAAGGGCCGGTTTGAATAAGGGCCCGGTTAGCGAGTTGGATGAAAAAAATATGGGCCCGGGCTACAAAACGAGCAAATACGTTATGTGTTATTATTTCGGTATATATATATATTTGAACAATAGCTTTTAAAGAGCGTGATATATTCAGAAAAGGGGGGAAACGCAAACCTGAAGAGTGAAAATGCTGCCCTAATTCAACTAACGCTGATCGTACTTTGTTTCATGATTGGATACTTGCCAGATTTCGGTAAATAAAATTAGTTATTTTATGAAATGGAAGGTAGAACATTCGCAATTTTCCCGGAACCAACCTGCCACAAAACACGCTCGCAGCGTACGGAGATGGGGGTGGGAACATTATGCATTTGTTCATAAATATACGTTTCAAATTGTTTTTTTTTCTTTCTAATTTTTCTGAATTAAATAACGCAGACCGCTTTTGATAATTGACATACCCAACTACGTCATCTTCATAGTTGTGAAATACTTTATGTTTTGAGCAGAGTTGACCGAAAATGGTACAAGGAGTACGGAGTATATATTACAAATCAATATTCGTTAAGCATTTAAAAGGCAATGAAGAAATAGTGATCTTGTACGAAATACAGCCGTTGTTTTTCTGTTGGGCTAGGCAAAGATGTTTACTTGTTCTAGGTTTAAATTTCGAAACTAAGTAGCTTTCCAGGGTAGTATTTGAAATTTACAATATAATTTTTAATTTGTAGCTTAGTTTGAAACAAGCTGAGTTTTTACAAAGACGACCCAAAAAGCAATCGTCGCATCTAAAGATGCGAGTGCTAATGCTTTTTCATTTATGGTAAACTGTGCAGAAACACGGCAAGCTTACGTTTCATCATTTCAGGAAATAGATTCACTCATTTGATTTACAACTTGTTGAAAAAAAGATTTGAAGCAAGAAGTTCTTGGCTTTCAGGCATGCTGGCCCACATACTTCTGAGAATTTCCGAATGCCTGAATCCCGTGCTCTACAATCTTGGATCCAGGTAATTTGAAAGCTTCATAAAGAATTGTTTCTTTGGTATCGATATTTGTACTAAAACCTATGGCTGCTACATTTTTTTTCAGTCAAATAAGAGAAGCTACCATGAAATTTCTACGCATCGGAAGAAACGAACCGCGAGAAAACACAATACAATTAAGAGCTGCAAAGGAATCAACTGAACAAATAAATTGAGTTTGGTTCGGCATATCAGTGGTTTAGATTTATACAGGAATTATAAAGTAAATATGTTGCTCTTTTGAATCAAATATAAATTATATATATGTAGAGACTAGGTATGGGCAATATAGAATACCGAATCCGGAATATTCGAATCCAAAAGAATCCGATAACAGGCTTCGGTTTCCGCCTCAAGTCAATTTTTGTATTTCAGAATCCTAACTTATCAATCAGCGACGAGCGTTTTCTCTCGCGGCGAAATCTTTCTTGTTTTATCGCAAAGAACCCGCAAAAGTGGCAGACATCAATCAAACGCCGTGAACCCAGCTCGCATCAGAAGCGAAGACGGCGTCATTGCACAATTTTGCGTTTTACAATTTTACTATCTAGTTCGCTTATAATAATGATTATTATTGTCAATCCATCGCCTACTTCAATCCATCGTTCAAACTCGACAGACGCTTGGCAGGGTGTCGTGCGATATTTTAGTCGACGATAGATTTTAAAAAGTCGCCACACGTGGTGAAGACCGGCCTTAACTATTAATGGACATTATGCAAAGCATATCGCCAAAACTATAATTTGTCTATAGATGTTATTTTACGAGTCTTTCTCGCAGAAAATAAACACGCTGACATATTTGAATATAATCATAGCCGTTATATTTATTTTACACTATTATTAAACGCGTCCTACCAAGTGAGGCACCCGTTGCCGCCGCATAAATCGCAGGGGCTTCGGTACGGCCTGTATGTTTTCGGCGCTCTCACATAAATACAATTTACCCAATGTTTTTGTCATACCTATTTTTGGTATGTTTTCGGCGCTCTCACATTAATACAATTTACCCAATGTTTTGTCATACCTATTTTTTGTATGTTTTCGGCGCTCTCACATTGATACAATTTACCCAATGTTTTTGTCATACCTATTTTTTGTATGTTTTCGGCGCTCTCACATTGATACAATTTACCCAATGTTTTTGTCATACCTATTTTTTGTATGTTTTCGGCGCTCTCACATTAATACAATTTACCCAATGTGTTTGTCATACCTATTTTTTGTATTGCACAATTTAGTAGTAAACACCGCTATTTATTTTAACATACTGTATAAGTAGGCTATTTCCGGAGTACATAAATTTTGAACAGTTCAGGGCAAAAAGTGATTTGTTAAAATTCTTATATATATTTCATTGTCCTGTTTGGTAACAATTAAAATCCAATGGTATTTCCAATTAAATACTAAGGTAGTAGTAGGCTACATTTACAATATTGCTTATCCATCAAAATGGTGGAAGAATTCCCACGTTGGAATATCAATAAAAAATAGAATAGGATTCGGTATTCGATTCAAGTATTCTAGAATAGTAAATTATTCTATATTGCCCATCCCTAGCAGAGACATGTTGTTTTGTCCTTGTTTATTATAATATTCACAGTACTTATCAATTGAACACCGCATTTAAAGAAACAAAAATCATCAAGCTCCATGGGTGATTTTAACGAGTAGCAAACAGAAGATCAACCGCGAACAACTATATTGCTAATGCCAATCCATATCGTCCTAGGCGATAAAACGACTAACGTGGGATAGCGATAACCGCAGAGCCTTGGAGGTCACCAAGCTGATTTTATGGTCGGTGAATTTTCATACGGAGCGACTTTTTTCATATTGTGTGAGAAACTGTTCGTTTCTGTTAGATGGTGACCACTGAACATCGAAAACTTGAGCAACGCGTATTGATGATCTTGAAAATCTGCTCTTACCACTGCGAAAAGTTTTCCGGGCACTCCAATTTTTATTACTCACCGATTTGTTCCTGTAAGACATTCAAAGCCAGCATATTTGACAAAGCATGGATAAACATTATGAATCAAATACACGTATCTTAATTTTTATATGTAAATATAATGTCGCCACATTGCAGCTTTATTTGTATATACTGTGAATATATATATTCCCAATATCATGTTTTATTACCTTATGTAGGTATCTGAAATTGCGCGTTCAATGTAAATGTGCAGTATATACATAACAAATCTTTTACGAATTTGACAGCCCGTCTCACCCCTAAGAAGCAATCTCAAGTCAAAACTCTACGCAAACTGTGTAAACCTCTATTGCAATTCATTACGTTTTAAAACCCTCAAAATAACATGATTGCATAAGACTATTTTACATCAATTTGTGATGGTAAACTAAAACTAAAACAATTCATTATAAAAATAGGGAGAATCCGAATAAAAGTCCGAATCTGAACGGGCAGACAAAACTACATGGTAAACTGCAAAATTATCAATATGAAAAGAAAATGTTGAGCACGGGAAACAACTAAAATTTACATCCTTATAACCAACTTATTAATGATTAGAAATGTACATTTAGGCAATTGCAGAAATACTGACATTCATGGCAGGAAGAAGTTAAGAAAATCACAGACTGTATACACTGGAATGCTATACATTTTCTTTCTGTGCTGTGGCACTGCAATCATACACAACAGGGAAAGGTGTATCTGTTGGTTGTAACCTAAATATTGAAAATAGATAATGCTAAATGCAAGTGTTTCTGGTTAAAAACTGGTTAAAAACTCAAAATTTGATAAACAGGAAATGCAGAAATTTTAAAGGTGGCCTAGCCCTAGCAGGTTAGAATTAGTCCAACAAAATATTCTTCTCACCACTGCTTTACACAGGGGTATAGCCAGGAATGTCAATTTAGACTACTTTAGGGTCTAAATACCGTTTCAAAATATAGATAAACATGCTTTTTTTTTTGTTTACATTTTAAAAGGGAGTGGTTTCCGACCCGCATCCCATGGGTAAGCCCCAGGCTTTACACGACAAAATGTGTGCAGGGCAAATTTCATTCTGTTAAAATTAACTTCCCCTGACAAGCAGTATATACTCGTAACATGTTGCTGAAAAAAGTTGTACATATGCCCTTGAAATACACAAATTTTTCATTCCAGCTATTAAATATATGTCTAAAATACAGTATACCTTTATTTTGAAGCATGAATACAGTTTCAGTTATCTGTCAATTAGACTTATCTAAATACAAATATTGCCAAAGCGTCGACACCATAAATATAAGTATAAACTTAACATACCAATTTTTTTTACTCCACTCAGTTTGGTAGCTTTCCGCCACATGGAAAGTATATATATGCCTAGATTTATCTGAAATATTCTTTGCGCTGTAGTGTTGAACCTTGGAATAAAATAAAAACAATTGAACAGTGTTATATGATGATGACACATCACAATGACAATTTACAATGGTGTCCAAAATGCAGAATAAACATTGACAAACTAACTCTGCATATCTTTTACTTGTACATGTTTGCAGTTCTAGCTAATAACTATTATCCTTTTTCATTCGAACCCTATATTTTGTAATTGTTACATTAGATATCTGGTAAACAATAATTGTCCATGCTTAATTCCCACAAAAATATACAAATACTTTAAAGAGCACAGCCTGTAACCAATTACCACACACTGACCACAACTTCGGCAATTCTTCATCCAAATGTCTCGGAACACTTATGTACGAACAGTTGCTTCTCCATTAATAGGACTATCGTAAGTAAACTCAGTAATCAACTTACCAATCCATCTATGATAATCATAGAACCCTTTTTAACAGGGACAGACATGAACTCATTATCATTACAGTACTCTATCTCTCCCTCAAATATTACTCCTCTCTTCCGCTTATCAGGATTTCGAACCATTTTAAAATTCAGATCAACTGTAATAAACAATAAGAAATATTATTCAAAATAAACCCAAAATTCTCTTCCTATGTACGTGGAAGGTAAAGGTATTTGTTAGATATTATGTTTAAATACAAATTCATCCTTGATTAGAATGTCTAATTGAGCATTCATTCCAGGAAACAAATATGGTTAGTGAAGAAACCATGTAACTGCAGCACTCCGAAACAACAAGAAATCCAGCAATACTCTTGTATTTGATCTTCACACAATTTGAACTAGTATCAGTGTCAAAGCAATGTTGTCCCGAATATTCAATACGAAAAAGAACTCAAACTTCAACATTTCCCAATTGAATATAACAGATTTCAGAACAGTCTATACATGACATGGTGTAATTTTTATACCATTCTTATGAGATCCAGGCGCGAAGTAGAGGCATCCATTTTCAAGTGTTGTATCCTCTAAAGCAATCCAAAACCCAGTCAGTTTCCTTGGATTGTTGTCAAGAAAAGTTGCATCAACATGCTTTGTGACTAAAATTTCAAAAAATGTTTTAGAAAATTTCAATGTTATGGAAAATGTTTCTCAAATTAGTGACCATTTGACATACAGTAATAGAAGGATAAAAATAATTTCCATAGAAAACTTTACTATTAAATTATGCACAAACATATTTACCTTCTCCTCCAATATTTGGTTGCTGATACATCGCACATCGCAAGTACATGTAAAAAGACAATACATATAAGACTAAGATAAATCTATGTTTATAAAGTGAAACATTTAAAGAGGTTTTTACATTCAAATGTATCACCAAAACTTTTGTACAGTACATACAGAGAACCATCCCTTTGTTTTATTTAAAAATACTTGAATTTGGCTTGCAGAGAAACATTGAACATAGCATTTAAATAGAACACAATAGAACAAGGCTGCCTGATTTTTTTTTTTAAATAAATGAATTATGAGTGCTTTCGGGGAGGGTGAAGAAAAAATTGAGTTGAGAACCCGAGGCCTATTATAAACCCACTATTCATACATGACCCTTGGGGCAACGTCGTTAACAACAAAAAATATAATAAATTTCACATTTGACAGAACAACTTGTCACTTCCCATTGCTTGCTGAGAAAATATTCAGCCCCATGCATAAGTTGATGCCCTTTTCTTATAGCTCAAATGTAGATGCTTGTAACCTTGATTTCATCAATATTATATAAACTTCACTTCTTACCTTGAATATATACATACTTTGGGGAACTACTGGTCTTATGTATCCCAGTCGCTGAAGAATAATTTTGAGTTCTGGAGTGAATGTTGCATCTTTGAAAGCGGGATTCAAAAAATGAAGAGCTACGGACAAAGACATAATTGCATTTCATAAGTTAAATATATAGGAATATAACACAAATTAAAAATATAAGCACATTAGGATTCCTGTTATGGCTGGAATGATGTCATTATTTAATTTAATAAAACTTTCACAATAAAACTCTAAATAACAAGTAGTGTAATTTTGTGCCACTAAAATTGCATTTTTAATTTACACGAGTACATGAATAATCAATCAGGTATAAATTGCATACCATGTCCAATCTTGTTTAAAGCAATATGCTTTGGTCGATTCAGATTTCCTTTATCATTCACAGCTTCAGTCTCCCAAAAGAATCGTATTTTATCCCCACTGGTCAGAAAATAATCATCACCTACCTAAAAAGTGAAAAAATATCAGAATTATGCTAGTGTGATATTCTGAAACTATTCTATACAGTACTGTCAGAATGTAGAGTTCCCATATACCAGTATACCTAGGCTGCATCTTTTTCTATAGATAAAACATTCTTAAAGACAATACATTATTTTTTTGTTACGAAATGGTTACAAATACAGAAATTGAAGCTCCCATCAAAATATTATCATATGTGCTTGGTTGTCATATTGAATGAATGATTGAAATCAATCAATCACTGCAGATAGTAATTCTGTTATAGAATTAAGTGGTGAAAGTATTCCGAAACAATGGCTTACATGCTCTTCGTCATTCTGGGTTTCAAACACTGTTTTATGTTCTTCAGGATTCATTTTATCAATGATCAAAGAACACTCGTGTCTTAGTTTGTCACAGAGTTCATCATCATAATAATTCTCCATTATTAAAAATCCATCGTCCTGAAACTGAAAATATAATAACACCATTCACATGACAGCATGAATTAGTTCAGTAGTTTGAATGATATCTGGATATACTGTACTGCTGTAGGTACCTTTTTCAGAAGATGATCCGCAAAATCTAACTCCTTCATCTTTATGGCAGTACTGCAGTATGAAGGTGGTAACGTCACAATGATGTTTGGATGGAATTGAAGATATGCACCAATTAAAATTAGTAGGCTAGTTCAGTAGGCCTAGGTAACTTACCAATAACTAATAAGTTTACTGGTACCGGTACGGTAACTTACAATAAAATTCCTGAGAATCAGTTAACAGTTTTGTAAATAAACCATACTTGATTTGCACAAATAAATCATGTAAAATGAAATATAAACATGATAAAAATATTTCACCAGCGAGATACATTGTCAAAATTCAGGGATATACAATAAAAAAAAAAACTAGACCAGATAGAGAAAAAGTAACATCATTTCTGGAATCAGCGCCCTCAAATTTGTTAAAAACAGTTAAAACATCTTAGGCATCATGAAAAAATTTTTTTTGTCGGCCAGTGTTATTTTTCGTGATTTTTGTGCAAAAACAATTCCCTGCTGCTCCAGCCAGCCACCATGATATTTCTATTTTCTTTCGCATTTCTCCCCTGTCCCCCCGTTGAGGCCTCGCTGAAATTATATTTCCACTACTTTTATTTCTTTTACTAATAGGGCTGGTTTTATTTTCCATTTTTAACTTCTTGCAACTTGGCCGCTGTTTCTATTTTCAGTGATTTCTGCTTCAGTCAGTCCACATGGTTTTTCCATTTCATTCCATCTCTATTTTATTTATATACCCTTGACTTTCGTTTTCTATTCTCATTGAATCTCAATTTTTTTCTTGCTTCTGGCCTCTATTTTATTTCATTTTGCTTTTTTCATTAATTCCTTTTTTCTTCGGCCCCTCGCCGAATTTTTATTATTTAGTTCCTCGAATACTATCACCTTCACTAATAGCTTTTCGTTTCTTGTAGGCTATATTTTTAATTGCTGCCCCAACCAGCCTACAAACTCAGGCCAGTCAGTGTCTTTTTCGTTGGCTCTCTTTTTGGGTGGATATATATATTCGTCTCACTCTCGCTCCCCGGGATGGATGGATATCCTCATCCCCTGTCAGGCTAGTGTGGTTCCAATTATTCTCCCAATTTTCTTTTTCGCTATTTTTTCGTTCGGGCTTTTTTTGGCTTTTTTGCGGACTCTACTTCATTTTTGCATTTTTTTTTGGCTTTTTTAGTCTTATCTGACCGCAGATTTATTTTCGCTAACTCGAACATGCTGGCTTTTTTTCTTTACTGTTACTTACTTTCTTTATCTTAGCCTTGCTGATTTCACTCTCACTTGTCTCCTCACTTCATTTTTACCCGCCTCTTGTGCTAACTGGCCGTTTTATTTCTTGTTTACTTTTCTGAATTTATAAAGCATCTCAGATCAAAATTGGAGCGACGTTATGTTCTGTTATAGATTGAAATGATATCATACACACTAAAAAAAAATCAAAAACACCTTAAATTTTGTCTGAAGGGCAGTGGGGTGCCTAGAGGGGGGTGGAGGAGGCAGCCGCCCCGGGGCAGCACGTTGTAGGGGGCAGCAAAACCATGCTTTAGTAGGTTTTGATCTGAGATGTTTTATAAATTCAGAAAAGTAATAAGAAATAATAAGAAAAGTTATAAATTCAGAAAAGGATTTGTAACTTTTAACGTTTAACGATAGACAGGAAGGAAGGAGGACGTCGAGACATGGCCGCTTCGTACTCTGAGATTTTAAATAGGCGTTCCGGTAATATTCCACCACAGAGAGATAAAAGAGTTAGAGAAATTCGAAGACCACATTGTTTACATATCCAATTTTCTAAAGAAGACCAATTTGAAGACGGAATTAGGAATGCTGCTAAAAGTATTGTTTTAAAATGCTTGAACAAAATCCATGTAAATACAATTGCCGTGAGGCCGTACAACTCTGTAGATATTACATGTAACTCAAGAGCCGCAGTATTACAGTTAGCAACCTTTTTAGAAGATGAACCACATACCATACTTGAATGGCATTTGTATGAGCCGGAATTGATTGAAGTTAATATCTCATGGATACCAGGCTATTTAACCACCAATAGGGTAAAGACAGCATTGCTTGAATATGTAAAATTTGATTCCGACGTTAATAAATCTAAAGATAAAAATGGGATTGGAAAAGGAACAATGAATGTAAAAATATCGCCTAAATCACTGCAAGAACACCCAATACCAAGTTATATTTTCGTGAACAGATACATGCTAGCAGTCCATTATTATGGACAGAAAAAAACATGCAAACAATGTGGCTCAATAGATCATTTTAAAATAGATTGTCCGATTAGACTTCAAAATAGAAACTTGAGACAAAGCGTACAAAAACCAAGCAAAATTTCTTCACCGAATTATGCCCCTACACAAGAGGAAAATGAAGTGAATGCATCTTTGCCGAAAACATCAGAGGAACTACAGATTCAACCAGAACAAACAACCCTGAATCACTGGATTGATGCAGAAGTAACACAGCTCACTATGCAAGTTGAACAAACTACTACGGATAAAAGTACCCCACTAAAGCCAACTAATTATGATGATAGGACATCACAACCAGAAAACCAAACCTTGATATTGTGGCATAGACAACAGAAGCGACTTCATTCTGATAGTCCTAATGAGTAATCACGGTTGCAACTAAAATATGATGAGGCAACAAATGATAAAAATGGAATGGATATGACTGAAGATAAGGCAAGTAAACTTCTTATGTGTGAAAAATGTGGATGAAATATTGTACTCATAGATAATTCTAATGAAGTGATGTGCGAGTACTGCAGTACAATAAATTTGATTCTAAAGCAATGCTGTCAGAGTGACGGATATTTCACTGTACCTGAAGATCAAGCTAATCTTAATGATCCTATTCCGTGTAATTTATGTCAAAATCCAACTACTTATTCACCATGTTGTTTGAACATTAGTAATTGGGAGAAAAATCTACTTGAATGCAAAATTTGTTCAAAATTATACATTAAATACCATTGCTCATCATCAAATGAGCCTCCTTTAAAGGGAATGTTCAAAAAGTGTAACAACCTTCAATGCAAGCAAACCATAACTTTTTGTTCTTGTGGTGTAATAAGTGGATCTGAAAATGGCCCTTCATGCACGTGTGGTAAATACCAAGTGGATCCTAATTGTGACACTGAAAGCTATGGATAATCCGACATTGAACATTGCCTAACTTAACACTAGAGAAATAGCAAGCTTCGAAAAAAGAAAACAAGTTTTTATGTTTCTCAAAAGAAAAAGTTAGATTTGATTTTTGTACAAGAAATGCATGGAGTAGAAATGCATCAGGATCAGTGGTTAAAAGAATGGGGCGGTACTGGGGCGTTTAGTCACAATTCAAGTAAATCTTGCGGCGTTGCAATTCTATTTAACACAAATGTTGAATATAATATTCATAAAACTCTTAAAGACACAAGCGGAAGATATATTGCAATTGAAGTGACTATTGGAGGATTAAAATTTGGTCTGTTGAATGTCTATGGGCCTAATGAAGATAAACCTGAATTTTTTGAAAACCTGGTTAAAATTTTAGATTAAATTGAATGTGATAACCTCATGGTTGGAGGTGATTTTAACCTTGTGTTAAATGATAACATGGATAAATTTGGAGGTAGAGCGACACATAGTATTCGAAGATCAAGAGAAACTGTTATGAATATAATTAGTGAATACAATCTATGTGATGCATTTCGTTTGAGCCATCCTACCAAAAAAAATTATACTCACTTACAAAAGCCAGCTAAAATTTGGACAAGAATTGATTTTTTTCTAATATCAAGCGCACTCATGGAGAAAGTAATGAATTGTAATATTTTACTTAGCACAAGATCTGATCATTCTCTTTGTTTTTTGAAACTTTAACTTGACCCAACACCAAGAGGTAATGGATATTGGAAGTTTAACTGCAATCTACTCCATGATGAGATTTACATTAATTTAATACGTACTACAATATCAAATGCCATTTATGACCATTCGCAGCACCCTGTTAATTCACATATTTTTTGGGAAACCCTCAAATGCATTATTAGAGGTGAAACAATCTCTTACTCATGCAGGAAAAAAAGAGAATCTACCAAATTAATAGAGGAAGTGGAAAAAGATATCAAAGAACTACAGCAGCAGTTACTAAATGATGATTCTGATCAGACCTATGAATATCCTTTACTTAAACAGACAGAATATCATAAACTTTTTCAAGATTTAACCCGGGGAAGTATTATTCGTAGTAGAACAAATTGGGCAGAAAATGGCGAAAAAAATTCCAAATATTTCTTTGGTTTAGAAAAAAGAAGAAAAACAAAATCTTCAATCACACGATTAAAAATTGACAATAATTTAGTAACGGATCAAAAGAGTATACTACAGGAAATTCGACATTTTTATGAAAATTTGTTTCAGTCAAGTACGCCTGATGAAATCAAGATCAATAATATTTTAAATAACTTGGATATTCCAAAAATGTCTGAGAAAACATCTGAGATATGTGATGGTAGTATTTCATTATCTGAATGTAAAAAAGCACTTTTTTCAATGAAAGACAATAAAAGCCCTGGACCAGATAATTCCTCATACGAAAATATAAGCCCCGAAAAAGAAAGCATTTATATTATTAAAGGATTTGGCATAAAAAATACAAGAAAAACTTCTGATTTAAAATTAGCAGTCAGCAAATTTAAAGTCAAATAGAAATGCTTACACGAAGATAAGCCTTCGAATTGAGCATGTTAAAAATCGATTTTCAATAATAATAGAACTAAAATGAGTAATGTTAAAATACAAACCTTGTCAACACTGCTTCCGCACGAGCGGAGAAAAATTTTATTAGCGGAAGTTATTCAGATATATGAACTATACATATATACGAGATTCTGAATTGTTGGGGATAAATGCATTTAAGTGTAACTGATTGTCGAAAATAATTTACATCATAAAACTCGGTATAAGCATATAATTTCCCAATCTTTAAACACCAGCAGCAATTCCTCTCGATTAAAAGGAGGGAGCTTTTATTACTGAAAACTATTGTAGTATATATGTCGCGCATCATACAATTTGAGTTGTTGGGAACAAAATTTTGCATTAACGTGCGATCCGTTACTGAAAATGTTCTATTTATTTGAAATCGACATAGCCAAAAATTGTAAAGTTTCACTATTTTCAAACTATAA